TTGCTTTACAGCATTACTCTCGTCTCACAAGCTATCAGAAAACACAGGACAGTTGTTTATTTCTAACTGTGTTATCTCCAGACTATTTTACAGGCATTCTGTTAGGCTTCTTTCCTTAAGGGACTTCAGCTCTTTGACTAAAGCATTTGGGGCTGATGCACTTAAATGGAGCTGGCATTTAAGGATGTATATGAGGTGAGCTCTCCAAGACAATATAGTATGACGGAAAAAATTCTTTACCCAGCGGTCCCGATTAACAATCACTCTAAGTTAAATACTATGTCACCCCAAAGTTCCACGTGGAATGTTGGTATTGGTGGTTCTGAGTGTCCCATCCTTTCTTTGTCAGACTCAGCCAGGCTACCTCTACCCTTTTTCTCTCTCTTAATTCGATTCTTTAAAAGCCACAGGGGGGCCAGTAATAATTAGTGATTTCTCAATCATCTTTACTTATTTTTCTGCACTATCTCTCACAGTCTCTTTACTAAACATTTGCAACATTCTTGAACTGTCCTCCTGAGCTTCCGTGTCTGCAGATCAGTTCACATCTTACTTCAGTGAAATATACAGGCCCTCATTTTCCATTGCTTTGGCATCCAAACCATTCTGCAGAGAATCATTGTTGTATATAGAGTCTGAGACAAAGGCACAAACTAAAATTATTTTCATATGTTTTCAAAAACTTATTTTTCCTTTAAAATAATCTCCTAAAGCCAAATAACAATAGTAATAAACAGAGTTTTAAATATACTTAACTGAAATTTTATTTAAAATTTATTTTAAAGTGACAGATTTTTAATACAAATTAAGCCATTTAAAACTCTAGTTTCAATGCCCTTCTGGCTGTTAAAGCAAATATCCCTCTTTAGGCAGGTTCAGTTTAGAGTAAATATGTATAATTTAAAAGTAATTTTGCTTAATACAGCAGAGCGTCCCAGCAACATGAGCAACTGCTGTGAATACTGTGCTGACTTATGAGCATCGTTCAGAACCACAGACGAGAACACAAGAGGATTTAAATAATGGATCCTCAGGACTCCTGGGAAACACTTTCATCATGAAAGGATCCATTGCGTCTGTGACATCTGAGAGGAACAGTTAGGTTGGATAATTAATTTTTGTCTTCTCTTCCCTAAAATTCACCCAAATTCCAAATAAGATTTGGCCTTTTATGTCAGCATCAGCACAATCCACAAATTTTCAGATATTCAAATGCAGTTTCAAGGACAACTGTCATGGTATGTGGATAAGCATTTTCCTTGGACCTGAATGGTGTTAGTAGCTGTTTAAGGTTACAGATTGTGCCCAGACTAAGTGACAGACATACCCCGTGTTCTTTAGTACACTTATTTGTGTGTGTGTGTGTGTGTGTGTGTGTTTGTGATGGGTGGTACTGTCCACATACTTGCTCGTCTTCCCTGTTCCTCGTATTTAAAATGAACAAGCGGGGAGGGTATAGCTCAAGTGGAAGAGCACATGCTTGACATGCACAAGGTCCTGGGTTCAATCCCAGCACCTTTTCTAAAATAAATAGATAAATAATAAATAAGTAAATCTAATTACCCCCAATCCCCAAACAAAATAAACAAGCCCCTTTCAAAGATCACCCATTCTCACTTTGTTACTGTCCACTGTTGTCACTTGAACAGAAGGCATATCATAGCCTGTCATCCACTGAGCGGTCTCCTGTAATACAGTCCGGAAGTAATTGTTACAGCCTTGATGTTCATGTAGTATTTATGGCTTTCTTTTACTCTGCCATCCTCTAAGCCTTTATTATATTTACAGAATTATTTGTCTCTCCCACTATATCAGAAGCCCTCGGCAGGGTACAATTCTAATTCATTTTTGCATTTTCTTAGGTCGTAGACAGACTTAAACATATGGCTAAACTGACTGAATCACATTGGAGGGCTCATTTTTATAAGTTCATAAGTAAGAATTAAATGGATTATTTTTATATCACTACATGAAATTCTATTGTGTAAAATAATTTATTTTCATAAAAAGGCACTGTGGGGACTTAAGGTCCTACCCGTGGTACTCTCCATCCTTGCGGATACTTCTGTAGTGCCACATTAACTCACAGGTACAGTCCTAGAGAAAGACAGCCGGGCTGTGCTGTGGGTATCTGCTGAGTGAGAAGTGAGACCGAGCAGGACCCTGCAGGACCATTCTGGGTACAAAAGCCCCTCCGAGTCCCTAGTGTCCTTTTTTCTTTTTAATTGAAGTATAGTGTATTCTTGGTTTCTTTTATATTAAAAAAAACAAAAAAAAAAGGCTGTAGTCTGCTAGTCCTTTCCTGAGTTCTAAAAAAGACCCAAGCAGTTACTAATTAGGAAGTGAGGGAACACACAAACAAAGGGAAAGCAGTCAAGAAGCAATAGTTCAGCAATAAAGCAGAGTCCTAGTCTCTCATCAAGGGATATACACAAAAATCTGACACAAAACCTTGAGTTATTCTGCCCAAACTGAGGCCCCCACCACGTGGAGGATGGTGACTGCATGCTGACCACTAGTAGCTGGACTCCAGGCTGGCTGGACTCAGAAGGCTGATGATTAAGATTCCTGAAACATCTCCCTGCTACCTCACCATCAGCCAGTCAGAAGAAAGGCCATAAGCTTTTCCACTTCGCTGCAAATTTGCCTTGAAAAACTCTTCCCTGAAAGCCATGAGGGAGTTTCGGGTTTTTAAGCATGAGGTACCCATTCTCCTTGTCTGGCACCCCGCAAATAAATGCTGCACTTTCTTTCACCACAATCTCCTGTCAGTAGATTGGTTTTGCTACCCACTGGGTTAGCGAACTCCAGTTTGGTTTAATAACAGAAGTATTCCTTTCTTAAGGTTTTGGCCTCTAGGGGGCACTGTAAGCTTTTCTTAAACCGAGGGCCTACCCTAGGGGATCTAGTGGAGAATAGTTGTTGAAAGAGTTAAAATGAAAGCCACAGACTCAAAGTGGTGTCAGTTGTGCTAAAAGCCCATGATACCAAACCTAGACTTAACATCTCACCCAAATGCAGTGTCACCTTTCCCCAGAAATGTAATCTTAATCAGTCAGTAGAAATTTTCTGGTTAACACTAGAGAGGTAGTATGTCCCATGGGCGCTCTGCATCCTCCAGAGGAAGAGGAGGCCATCTGCATGACAAAACCTTCACCCTCCCCCAAAAGAAGGCCTAAAAACAATCCTTTCTTTTCTTTTTCTAATGATCTCTTATAGCATCCTTCTTCCTTTAAAAACCTTCCACCTTGTAGCCCCCAGAGCACCCTTCCAGCTGCTGGATGGGATGGGAAGCTGCCTGATTAATGAATTGCCTAATAAATCAATTAGATCTTCATATTTACTCAGTTAAATTTGGCTTTTCAACAAAAGGCTTGAGAAATTTTGAAGCACAATTGAGAGCTAGTAATAGCAAAGAGGGGACAACATAGAGAAAAGCTAAGTCCTTACCAGCACATAAGAAGAAATCTGCTTCCTGCTGAAGACTCTTTTCAATTAATAGCTCTGTTTTATTCTCTGATTCAAGCACTAGAATTTTATGGTTGTAAAGGATATATCTTCATTGTCATTGTTTTTATCTATATCTATGTCATTATTTTTACCCGAATCTCTCAGAAGAGACTCCTGGATCAAACAGAGACGCATATAAACAAAACAAAAGAAGGAAAATTTCAAAGACTAGATATTAGACTTCGCTGATTTTTTTCACTTTTATTACCAAAGCTTTTTTTTATATCAGGAGCAAAACTGAAATTTCATTTCCCAGGTTCAACATTGTGTCTAAACCATTGAAAGTCACCCTTTCCTCCTCACTCTCAATCTACCCCTTTCCAGCCCTTTCTCAGTTCACTTGACTTGAGAGGGTGGGGCTTCCTGTCACAGAGCATCACCTGAGCAGGCTTCACTGGGTGAGCTGACTGGTTGCAGGAGCAGGAACAGTTCCAGAACAAGTCATGACACTCACCACCCAGGAGTGGAGTTATGCATCATATGGTGAAAACATCCCAGCAAGAAGGCGAGGCGTCATGAAGAGGCTGGTGGGCGCTGTGCTGGGGCTTCTGTGTGCCCAGGTTTGCTGTGAGTTGGGGCTGCCCCGCAGGGAATCTGCAGGACTGAGCAGCTGCAGTGTAGTTGAGGGGAGAGGGAGGGGAGCTGAGGAGTCTTGCAGACTTTCTAGTCTTCTCATCATCCCTGGGGGGCACTTTCGGGGATTTGTAGGAGTTACAGTGACCCTCACCTGTGACTGTTTCTCTGTTTCTCATCAGGTGTGACAGGGGAGGATGTGGAGCAGAGTCCACCAGTCCTGATTGTCCCGGAGGGAGCCCCCTCCACGCTGTGGTGCAGTTTTTCTAGCTCTCTGCCCAATGTGCACTGGTATCGTCAGAACCCTGGGAGCCGCCTCATCCACCTGTTTTACGTTGCTTCAGGGATGAAGCACGATGGAAGATTCAGTGCCACAGCATTCGCTAAAGAACGCCGCAGCTCCTTGAACATTTCCTCCTCCCAGACCGCAGACTCAGCCACTTACTTCTGTGCTGTGAGCACAGTGCTCCCCGGGCACCTGCAGCCTGAACACAAACCCTCAGCGAGCTCGGCCCCCTCCAGCCACAGTCTCACCGTGAGGCCCCACACTCATGTGTAGGGCTTATTAGTCCTCACCTATATTGACAGTTTTTCTTGTTGTTGGAGTCCAGTCAGTTACAGTGTGTCTCTCTCTGGTGTACAGCACAGTATCCCAGTCATGCACATACACGCATATATTTGTTTTCATATTATTTTTCCATTAAAGTTTGTTACAAGATATTGAATATAGTCCCTGTGCTATACAAAAGTAACTTTTTTCCTTTTTCAGTTTTATTAGGTAGAGTTATTGTAGTTTGACTGCACATACACACTATATTACATGTAAATGCATATATACGATATACTGCACTTATTTTTAGTTTACATATATGTACTGACAGAAACTATTTCAAAATCTATGTTTATATATAGTAGTTAACATTTGTAAATCTCAAACTCCCAAATGTATCCCCTCCCACTCCCTTTTCCTGGTAACCATGAGATTGTTTACTAAGTCCA